CTATGACTTTTCAGCAGAGGCTTTATAAATTTGAGGTTGACATTAAATTTGGTCATGTTTGACCAACTTGATAAACTTCTGCAAAGAAATGACTGGCTTGGTAGATGAGAGGGGGGCAGTAGATATTGTCTCTGTGGACTTCACTAAGGCTATTGATACTGTCTCCTGTAAGATCTTTGTAGACAAGCTTTTGATGTACAGGCTGGATTAGCAGACAGGGAAGTGGACTGAAAACTGCCTGAATGGCCAGGCCCAGAGGGTGGCAATTAGTGGCACAAAGTTTGGTTGGAGGCCAGTACCTAGTGGTGTTCCCCAGGGGTCAATACTGGGCCCAGTCCTGCTTAACATATTCATTAATCATAGAATCACAGAATCATTTAAGTTGGAAAAGACCTTTACGATCATTGGGTCCAACTGCAAACCTAACACTGCCAAGTCCACCACTAAACCATGTCCCTAAGTGCCACATCTACACGTCTTTTAAATCCCTCCAGGGATGGTGACTCAACCACTTCCCTGGGCAGCCTGTTCCAATGCTTGACAACCCTTTCAGTAAAGAAATTTTTCTTAACATCCAAGCTAAACCTCCCCTGGTGCAATTTGAGGCCATTTTCTCTTGTCCTATTGCTCACTACTTGGGAGAAGAGACCAACCCCCACCTCACTACAACCTCCTTTCAGGTAGTTGTAGAGAGTGACAAGGTCTCCCCTCAGCCTCCTTTTCCCCAGACTAAACAACCCCAGTTCCCTCAGCCGCTCCTCATAAGACTTGTGCTCTAGACCCTTCACCAGCTTCGTTGCCCTTCTCTGGACACGCTCCAGCACCTCAATGTCTTTCTCATAATGAGGGGCCCAAAACCGAACACAGTATTCGAGGTGCAGCCTCACCAATGCCGAGTACAGGGGGATGATCACTTCTGTAGTCCTGCTGGCCACACTACTTCTGATACAAGCCAGGATGCTATTGGCCTTCTTGGCCACCTGTGCACACTGCCAGCTCATATTCAGCTGGCTGTTGATCAAAAATTATCTGGATGATGGGGCAGACTGTACTCTCAGCAAGTTTACAGACGACACCAAACTGAAAAGTGTGGTTGGTACACCAGAGAGTTGTCCTGGTATCTAGAAGGACCTCCACAGGCTGGAGAAATGGGCTGACAGGAACATTATGAAGTTGAACAAGAGGAAGTACAAACTCCTGCCCCTGGGGAGGAACAACCCCAGGCACCAGCATGTGCTGGGGGCCACCCAGCTGGAAAGCAGACCAGCAGAAAAGGACCTGGGGGTCCTGGTGGACACCAGGTTGTACATGAGCCAGCAATGGGCCCTTGCTGCAAAGGCGGCCAGTGGTGTCCTGGGCTGCATTAGGCAAAGCGTTGCCAGCAGGTGGAGGGAGGTGATCCTTCCCCTCTGCTCAGCCCTGGTGAGGCCACAGCTGGAGTTCAGCAAGGCCTTTGACACTGTCTCTCATGGCATACTCCTTGAGAAACTGGCATCTCGTGGCCTGGATGGGTGCACTCTTCACTGGGTGAAAAACTGGCTGGATAGCCGAGCCCAGAGGGTTGTGGTGAATGGGGTGAAATCCAGTGGGCGGCGGGTCACAAGTGGTGTTCCCCAGGGCTCAGTGTTGGGCCCTGTTCTGTTTAATATCTTTATCGATGATTTGGATGAGGGGATTGAGTGCACCCTCAGCAAGTTTGCAGACAACACCAAGTTGGGAGGCAGGGTCGATCTGCTTGAGGGTAGGGAGGCTCTACAAAGAGATCTGGACAGGCTGGATCGATGGGCTGAGGCCAATCGTATGAAGTTCAATAAGGCCAAGTGTCGGGTCCTGCACTTTGGTCACGGCAACCCCATGCAACGCTACAGGCTTGGGGAAGAGTGGTGGAAAGCTGCCCGGCAGAAAAAGACCTGGGTGTGCTGGTTGACAGCCGGCTGAATATGAGCCAGCAGTGTGCCCAGGTAGCCAAGAAGGCCAATCGCATCCTAGCCTGTATAAGAAATAGTGTGGCCAGCAGGAACAGGGAGGTGGTTGTTCCCCTGTACTCGGCACTGGTGAGGACGCACCTCGAGTCCTGTGTTCAGTTTTGGGCCCCTCACTACAGGAAAGACATTGAGGTGCTTGAGCATGTTCAGAGGAGGGCAACCAAGTTGGTGAGGGGCCTGGAGCACAAGCCTTATAAGGAGCGACTGAGGGAACTGGGGCTGTTTAGTCTAGAAAAGAGGAGGCTGAGGGGGGACCTTATCACTCTCTACAACTACCTGAAAGGGGGTTATAGTGAGGTGGGTGCTGGTCTCTTCTGTCAGGTGGCTGGAGGTAGGACAAGAGGAAATGACCTCAAGTTGAGGCAAGGGAGATTTAGGTTAGATATTAGGAAAAATTTTTTTACTGAGAGGGTTGTCGAACATTGGAATGGGCTGCCCAGGGAAGTGGTTGAGTCACCATCCCTGGAGATATTCAAAAAGCGAGTGGACGGGGTACTTCAGGACATGGTTTAGTGGGCATGGTTAATGGTTGGACTTGATGATCTTGAAGGTCTTTTCCAACCTAAATGATTCTATGATTCTATGACCAGTTCTAGGCTTCTCAGTACCATGGAGACATGGACATACTGGAGAGAGTCCAACAAAGGGCCACGAAGATGATGAAGGGACTAGAGAATCTCTCCTATGAGGAAAGGCTGAAAGAGCTGGGACTGTCCAGCCTGGGGAAGAGAAGGCTCAGGGAAGATCTTATTAATGTCTATAAATACCTGAAGGGAGGGTGCAAAAGGATGGAGCCAGGCTCTTTTCAGCAGTGCCCAGTGCCAGCACCAGAGGCAACAGGCACAAATTGAAACACAGGAGGTTCCCTCTGAGCGTCAGAAAATGCTTTTTTTTTTTACTGTAAGTATGGCCAAGCACTGGCACAGGCTGCCCAGCAAGGTTGTGAAGTCTCCACCCTTGGAGATGCTCAAAAGCTGGTCCTGGGCAACCAGCTCTAGGTGGCCCTGCTTGAGCAGGGCAGTTGGACCAGATGATCTCAAGAGGTCCCTTCCAACCTTAACCATTTTGTGTGAAGGTTAGAAGTAGAAAACAGACTGTCATACTTCACAGTGCACTCATGTCTACTCTCCATATGTTGAAAAAAAAAATATGAAAGAAACAATTTCAGTTTTGAAATTATAGACCAGCAGTGCCAAGAATAACTTCTGATACATGCCTGTAAGCCCTGTCAGGGAGAATTTAGGCTGCTGCCAGGTGAGAATGTGAAGCTTAAGGAAGTCATGCTACCCTTGAGAAACCATCATCATAGCTAACGCCTTTACATGTGTTACAAAGCTAATGGATCTTGGCTCATACATAGATTTGAGACATGACCTGATGGTTGATCAATCGCTTCCTACCTACATAACTGTCAGGAAAAAAAATTCAGTTTCAAGGAACTTTTTATTTCCAAATTACTTTCCTCTTTATATGCAATGACCTTTAATTTTGAATTATATTTCACAGCTTATTAATACTGTATGCACTTATGCCTTTCTAACATTAGACAACTAACTCCTTTTCAGTTATTAGGGGAAGACTTGTCACCATAGACTTCCATTTGAACTGCTTATTATGCTTATAGTTATGGCATTCTCAATTATCACAAATGGAAACAATTTCATTTTATGAATACCATACCTAAATTTTTAACTGGGTCACCTGAGTAACTTGGATTTATACTGTGTTTCTTAAGGCTGCAATGAAATACATATGGAAATGTATTTATGTATCAACGAGTATTAGTTTAACTACACCAGTCTGTCAAAAGTACGCAGGCTGTCTGGTATTTGCTTTTATATTAGAGTATAATATTTCAAGACCAGTAATACAATAAACAGTGTTCATCTGAGATGCATAGTGTTACAGTGGTACTGTTCCAGAAAACCAAATAAGGTATTTAATTTTTCAGCTGAGACTCAGCTTATTATCTGCAAAGGCTGTGGGTTGCACAGTCTTTAATCACTCCCAGGTGATTATATTTCCTTTTCCATTTTTCTTTACATTTCAAAATATGCTGACAGCACATACCGTCAAGCTAAAATTGCAGTATAAACAATATCTACTGCCTCTCGTATGAGTTATCAACACATTTCAATAAGTAAACATTGTCCAACAGAAATCATCTGATATGGGAACTATGGGAGATGAACATTAATGAGTTAACACTAGGCAGAAGAACCTGGTCTTGAGGCTGGGGGCTTGCAAGGAGGAACCCATCTACCTCTGCAGTATACACAGCGGAGTCTCCTGTGTGTGCAAGCATGACCTCAATGCTAGGGAAAAGCCCCCTATGCCTATTAAACTACTTACAGCACTTCACTGAAACATCTCAGTGTATAAATTACTTAATCCATTTATCACAGAATATTTCATGACTTTGCATTCTCATGTATGCAGAAAGACAGAATATTCAAAGATCTGTTTAAAATGTCAATACAGAATAACTTTATCATAAATACAATCCTGTACTAGAAAGACTTTGCACGGTGTTTATTGGGAAGTGGGGGCGCAAAGCCCCACCGTGTAGGGTATACTGTGCAGCTGTTATGCCATGCAGACAGAAAAGCATACACTTCAGAAGGCAACAGCAACTGCCTGCCTGCTGACCTGTACTGTACATCTGAATGCATTTTTCACACATCCATTGAAGCTACTAAAAACCAGAATACTAGAAATGCAGATCAGAGCCACAAGATGAAAGAGCTACTTACCTTTACGTTATACAGTAAGAGGTGACTACAGTGAGTTTCCAAAAAGTAGCAAGTGAATCAGAATACTGTTCTTTTTGTATTTGATTTGTCCTACAGCAAGAAACCAGATTGGTGAAACTTTTCAGCCTAGATTCCTCCAGAACAAAGCAGTGAGGCTATTTAACAAAGTGAACATGCAAATAGTAGAAATATATTGAGCTGTTTCAAGGTTTTGAGTCTTTTTTTTTTACAATCTCCCACCAGAGGAATGCTACTTACTTACCTTCTTCTTCTGTTTGTCTCTACCAAGTATTTCTGTGCCCTACTCCGACATATTTTTTGATCTTCTTTCAATGCCCGACGTTCTTCTTCTAAATCCCATTCAAAATGAAATGTTAAAGCTCTATCCCTAGTATTGTGTTAAGGACAATGGAAACTGTATTAAACAGCTCATTAAAAGATATAATAGCCTGTTTGACTGACTTTATATACCTTTTTGGGAAAGGGCAAACTTTATGCATGAGATACAAAATGCTGATATGCCTTTTGACTAAGTACACAACAGTTGGTCCCATAATTGTATATTATAGTCATAGCTAACTTTATGTTCATCCAGAAAAAAATGTAATTGCATTTTACTGTTTACAGTGATTTTAACAGAGGCTTTGCACTCATCTTTCATGGTATCAGCAGATGAAAAATCTCACCTTTATTATTTTTATTTGAAGAGACATCTTTGTGTTATCTAAATCTGTAACATGGATACATGTATCACAGGGAAGACCTTTCAACAGTGAAAACAGCCCCCCTCCCATCTAAAGGATTAGTTGTTTACACTGAAATTCATTAATACCACTGGATAAAAGCTCTCCACAGAGCACCACCAGTCCTGCCTCATGTCAGTAATGATTTAAGTAGCACTGTACAGGTGAAGCTTAGAACTTGTGTCCGTATTTCTTATTAGTTAAATTCAAGAAAATAAGGATCCCCAAGTTCGGATGGAAAACACAATTCCCAATGGCAGTACCTCTTAGAAGAGGGAAAACAAGAAAACTGCGAAGTTGTCTGAGAAGTCAACTCTTCTACAGCCGTTTAAAAAACCCAACGTACGAGTTTTATCTCAAGCCACCCCTGAGGCGACCCCTGACGGCGGGACAGTGCGGGGCGGGCGCCTCCTCATCACCCCCCCTACCCCA